AAAAGATTATAAGGTACTTACTAAGGTTAGGTTAGGTTAGGTTATAATTTCGTAAAAGATTATAAGGTACTTACTAAGAATATCATATTTAACGTTTTAGTAGATAGGTATTTAGCGCACGATCGCATAGAAACTAATTGCTTTATACATATGTTAGTCGTTCTATATTCTCGTGCAGAAAAATTAAATGTTATTCATTTTTTTGTAAATATATTGCATTTTGAATAATGATTTATAATACATCGCATCAAGAAACTATTCTCTTTGTATTTCGTTCAAAGAAGAACTATGTATAAAATAAATCCCTGCAGCTTTTAACTAGTAGATACAGAACTTAAAATAACACTGCAAGAGAACAATTATGTACTAGTATTTATTCAAATTTCAAGTTGGAGCTTCTAAAAACGTGCTCACATATGTTTATAATTCTCGTTTACCATACACGCTGATGCGTCATAATGCAAAATTAATTTTCATAAAATGAAAATTGTAGTGCATTGGCATTGGGTTAATTTAGTAGAGTTTATCGACCTATTTAACATTTTTAACACTAAAATATTACCTACACATTTTATTTTATTACATATTTTAATATGTACGTACTTCATAAATCATTATTATAAATGTAGGGAAGGAGCTAAATTACGGATAATATTCTCATCGATTGAAATTCAATATGAAAGTAAATCAATAATCATTCATAACACGAATTAATAATTTAACCAAGAGCGAACAGGTTAAAGCTTTAGTGATTGATGGAGAAGTGACTATTTTGTTATTTTTGTTTTATGTTTCTACCAAAATTAAAATAGGCTTCTGCTGTATAGCATATAATTAGCTTGTGTGCGTGATTGTCAAAGACGGTAAATCGATAATATATACACAAACATAGCTATAAGAAATTTGGAAACGTTCCTTTTTTTAATTCTAAAAATACTCTTCTACAAATGTTTCGAAAACACATTCCGACTAACCACAGTGTCAACCAATTAGTATACATTTAATTGTTTTTGATAACTCATATTTTAATCGAATATGGAATTGAGAGTTCAGAAAACATCATGTGAACTCTGAAGAGTAATTCGTAATATCACACTGATCAGTACATCGAAAAAACACGTTTTTCATTCGACGAATAATTTAGTTACGCATGAAATAATAGCTCTGTATTGACCTGTGCGAATGTTTATTTTTTGTTACACACACTCAATATATTATAATAATTTACTTCTTACATTACGCAAAGCAAAAATAACTCTAAATTGGCTATAAAAACACTAATATCCTTAGTAAATTATCGTTTTTAATCCCATTCATTGTATTATATCATGTCGGTATAAAATATGAACAATTATAAATATAAGAATAGTATATTTTTGGATATCTACCTATTTGTTTTTATTTTTTGGCAAGTATACATTTTTATGGCTTAATTTCAAAGTTAAATGATATAACAATATGATGTATTTTATAAAATATCATCTCTATAGTACTCATGTAATATCATAGTTAACGCTACTTGATCGAATATAAAATTTGGTAATGTAAAATAATATACAAATAGATATCCAAAGGAAAAAGGACTACCCACTAATTTCAACCTGAACGGACTCAATTGACTTATAAAGTGAACCGTATAAAATCAAATTATTAAATCTAATAAAAAAAAAAAAACCTAATATCGAAGTAATTCAGTATGTAATACATTTTGTAAGAATTATTAGGCATTCAAATATGATCATTTTACGTAGTCATTAAGGATTCAGTAACGGTCAAACGGAAGGGGATGAATGGGATAGATCCCTCCCATGACCTTTTTTTAAATATTTATAATTCATCCATATTATACATAATATAATATGGGTGTTCATCTATTTTCTATTTAAAAAAAATAATTATACTGTACTTATTAGTTATTATACAGTCTCTAGGCTCGAATAAAATTAACAGTTCAAACATAAAACACTAAAATATTAATTGAAACAAACTTTTTAGATTTTTTTCATTTCCTTTATAGTTAAATTATAAGAATGTATGAAATTTAAATTTAGTACTTAATGCTTAACATAAATTATTATATTATTATATGAATTGTGTAATTATATTATTTTAGAGTGATCTCAATGGTTTAACCACTATGGTTGTTCATCGTGAGGTTGTCAATATAACTGTAGACGAAGTACTGGACAAATTGGCAAAAAAAACAGAAAAATAGATTTAATAATATAAATAGGTATCATCAATAATAATTAATAATATCATTAATATAATATAATTTCCATGTTTAAAAATAAAGATTTTTATATATAGGGTTTGTTAAAAAATCAGCTACACCCCCCCCCCCCCATGACAAAATCATTTGACCGCCACTGTAGGGATTCGTTAATTATAATATCTAAGGTTAGGGTTAGGTTATGTATCTGTATAATTTATTGTAACAATATCATAATATTAAATATTTAAATTCAAATAAATTCTTTGACTTTTTACTGTTTCCACACTATATTTATGACTAGACAAGTCTCAAGAATGATTTTTCAATGAAATTATTTTTACCATAATTCACTAGCCCTTCGAGGTCAATAATTATTTTCGGTTATTTCAGCTATCTATAGAATAAAATATTTTAATTTCGCATGACATTTCAATTGAATAAACCGTTCAATTGAAAACTACTTTTTATGCTAAATTTCTAATATTTCAAATATTATAATACCTACTTAATGTAATTAAGTAATCTAATCTAATTTCTTAGATCTTAACATTTCTATAATAGAAAAAAAAATTAAGTTTAGTATTTACAGGAAACCTACCCTAAAGTGATTCTATAATACTAAATGATTCTAATCACCTATATTCTCAAAAAATATAATTTTTTAATTCAATATTTTATAAACTGGACATATTTCATTAAGCATACTTAATTATCATTAAAACACAACTCACTTAATTATATTTTTAACTATTTTAGTATGAAATATCTAAATAATATAACTAACGAATTCGTTAAAATTCTAAACATTAATACTAAATCGTAATTCCATAAAAGCTCGTTTATGTGCTATATAATTTTTATCTTTATGTGAAAAGAATACTATAGGTTTATAATGATCATTAAGTATTCCATGTATTGTAAATTTACTTAAAAACTATATTTTTATTACACAATAACAATACTGAACCATTATATATATATTTTTATAATAAAAAAAAAAAAAAATGTTTGTAATGTATTAACCTCAATAGATGCTAAAACGGTATGCACTTAAATTTTGTAGCAATTTAGAACAAATTAAATTCCGAGGTTGGTGGATGTTATTCTTTTTCCGATATTTTAATTTTCAAGTGAGTTATGATTATGTAAAATGTTACAATTAAAAAAAAAACTCGCATAGAAATTAAAATATCGGAAATAACCGACCAACAAAACAAATAAAATGTGCTTCCTTTCAAGTATTATTATGGGTCAGTTTACTCTAATATTAAAACCTACATCGCTATACTTGAACTACTAAACGCAAATTTGCTACCTTGTACGTGTGTCAGACGGAGACAACATATGCGGATGTCGCGTCCTTTTAAGTGGTACATTCTACGATTTTATTTTGTTTCAAGCATATATGAGCCAATCATTTTGGCTAATCAATTATAGTTAACAAGAACATTTTCATATTGATAGTTTTTATCTAATGTAATTAGCATGACATGTGTGTTCAAAAGAATTCTCATAATTAAATTATTTTCCCCTCCGCTTGCTTATTTATTAATACAATTGTGTACACATTGGAATTTAATCTGGGACCGAACTAACAGATTTGTAAAAATTCCTTTGCAGATGTTTCTGAACTTTTTTAGGGTTAGGTAGTTCTCGACTTCTATCGTAAAAAAACAATTTCCTTTTCTATCACGCGATATTTCAATCATTTTTATTTATAGAATCGTTGAACGGACTAATTCGTAAGAGGTTACGCGAAAAAATGGACTCGCGCAACTTGATCATCAAACTGCAATCGGACGAGTTATCACCGTTTGCCGTTCTAAATTTCTGACCACGTGCATAGTAAATCACAGTTATTGATTGATAAAATGTTTTTGAAAAATAGTTAGATAAGTCTAAGTAATTTTCATTTTTTCTTCAAACATTCAACACTGATTATAAAGTATACCTACATCAAATATAAATAATAATTTTCATATTAACGAATTGAGATTTTTTAGACACACTCAAGTGTTACATATAAAATGTTGTTACAAACATAACCACCTAAAAATTAAGATAAATTTAGTTTTTGCATATCAGGATTTAAAATAATTTTTATACTCAAATTTGAAGTTTATAAGGATAAGTTTAGGAATATCCAGTTGTTAATATGAAAAAAGTATACAGTACCTAATAGTTTTTTACTGAACCAGAAAATTCCGGAAAAAAAATTATATAAAAGCTAATATACGTTCTGCAGTTTATAAATAATGAAAGATCAATTGTTCAGTAAAGGAACAATTTTTGTGTTTATTTTTTAAAGTCAATACTATAAATTTCGAAACTCAATTTACTACGAACGATGTTTTCATTCATCACACGTATCCTTGATATAATTAAAAAGTATAATGCTGTCCGTGAATAATTGCAAATACAAAAATATTTAAAGAAAATTATCATAACATAATCATCCGACTAAAAATGTCTACAATTATTATATTTATCAATATTATACTTATATACGAGTAGATTTCATCTTAACCTAAATGATATTTAAATTACAAACTTACAATACAAAAAATATTATTGATGAGGATTTCATTTAAATACAAATTGAATAAAAAGGCGTGAATTAATCTAAATTTAAAATATACTGATACGGTTTTTTTTTACCATGGAAAATAAAAATAAAAAAACAAAATACACTTTCTAAAAAGGTTTTTATTTTAATGGAAAAAAATTCAGTTAGAAATAAGAGTAATAAATGTTTATTTTCAATTAAAAACAAAATAACAGTTGATAATCTTATTGCTAAATACATATTAATTAAGATAACTAATTATAATTGACAATATTTTAATCCCTTCACCATAATATATCTTTAATCCAAGATAATGAGGTACTTGTTTCTTCTGAAAAATAGCATTTAAAATAAAACTTTCAATTAGATAGAATATTAACAATAATAAAAAACAAAAATCAACAAATATTAGATGCTTCATATTACTCAGTTAATGAGTATCTTATTTATTGTCTTGTTGAATTTAGGTTTTAGAAAATATAATATATATATATCTCATTTAAAACCATAATTATACTTTATTTTAGTAAGACATTTTGTATTTTTACATATTTTAAATTTTATTTTAATTTCATACTTCTCAAAAAAGTAAATTTTTTTCTTAGAAATTCGGTGTGAAAAATAAATTAATAGATTTTTAGTATTGTGAAGTGGTATAATGTTGGTACAATATTCTGTTCATCTGAACTTAAGATGCTTAAAAATAGTAAACTCTGGTTCGATATTTGATTTTTATAAGTATATAAATATTATCATAAAAACATGTTTCAGTATATGAAAGTAAAATATAATAAAACATAGTTTGTAACTTGTAAATAAATTAATTTATTCAAAAAACATGAATAAACCAAATTTATGAATATTTTTTGTTAAATTAACTATATGTTAATAATTTTAAAATATTAAAAACATATATATGAAGACAAAAAATAATAAATTAATATGAATTACTTGTAAATTATATAAAATAATGTATATATTATATTTTTAATTCGAATTTAAGGGAAGAATATACTTATTTTATATTTTATTAGAGTATTATATTTTACCAAATTATAATATCATAACAGTGTAAATAAAAGAGAAACTTCATCTTTAGAAATAGTTCATTATTTATAAACCAGCAATAATGATGAACTTCTATTAAAAATTAATACACTGCATTTATTATCATTCTTATTTATGTTTTTTCTTCTTATGAGATTATTACAATCTAATATCAAATTAAATTCACAGCAAGTTCTTTAAAGGGCATTCATAATTTTTAAATAATGTTACCATGCAGTATACCAACATTGAATAAGCAGCGATAACTTTTTATTTGGACAAGTTATCATTACTTATAACACAAAATACTAATATTAATACATTTCTAATCAACCAAAAATCAACAAGTATAAACTGCATATGTTAACAAACATTTAATTAAATAAACTAAATATCAAGTAAGCTGAATATTTGATAATGTAAAAATAAGCAGTATAATTATATTGCTAATAAATCAAAGAATTTACTCATTAATACCAGTTATTTCGATGAAGAGGTAAATAAGTAGTAAAAAGGTCTACATTTAAATAATTTTACCGTCAAAGTTTTATTTTTACCAGTTATATTAGATGATTTTGTTTTATGTGTCTTAGAACCATCTTGATCACTTTGATGGAGTTGCATTTGTGACTTATGTCGCTGTTCTTGGTCAGTAAATAAATCAGCATCTTTTCTATATTCTAAACTGTGTAATTCTTCCAACCTGAAAATACATTAATATAAATTATTTAATTTTAATAATAATTGAAAATAAAAATTTAATAAATTAATAAAATATAATTTTATAATGGTTAACATTTTGAAAAAAGTATTATCACAATTAATAATTAAGAGCATTACTTGTCATCTATGGCTTTTGAACCATAATTTTCTTTTAATGAATCTGATGAACCTATTTGCGACTTACTGTCAGATAGAAATTGAATTTGTCTGATGGAATTCGATAGCTTCAATTGTAACATATCTCGTTCTTCTAATAGCTATAAAATAAAAAGTGAATAAGATACAAATTTAAAGGATAAATCAATTGTTTTTTGAAAACAATAATAATAAAAAATAAGAAATTCACAGATAGTTAATTTTTTAATATTTTATTAGTTTTCTTAATCCTTGGAAAAAACTGAAAAAATAGCAAATTATGATATTTTTTCCTCAAAATTATTTATTTATTTTTCGACAAAATAAGTAAACTGACATTTTATACATTGAAATTTTTTAAATAATTTTGAGGAAAAAATATTAAAAAATTTACTATCTGTAAATTTCTTAACTTATTAACTACATATTATTATTATTAATAATTCACTACCCAAAAGTGTTGAGAAAAAAATATAAATTTATGATTATTAAGTCTTACATCGTTCAGAATCTAAACATAATGACATTTTAATCTAATAAGTAATTAGATATTCATTTTAAAATAATAGAAAACTATATCTTTAATTTATTCATACCCTGGTTAGTTCTAATGTCAATTCATCACACCGAACATCTCTTTCGTGGACAGCTGTCAACGCTTTATCAAGTTTTTTTTGGACTAATCTAATATCTTCTACATTACGATTTAAATTATCCAATTTCGATATTTTTTCAGAAAGAAACTGAATTAATCTATCTCGCTCAGCAATGGCCCTCTGGAACTGTTCGTTATCTTCTCTTTCTGGTATAGTTTCTTGAATTAAAACCGAAGGTTTATTAATAGATGACTTTTCAGAACTTGCCAGCATATTTGATGAGTCAATATTAATATCATGATTATCAACATTGTGAGACAACTCAATATGACGTTCATCAACTAAATACATTTCATTATTTTTAATAGACATGTATTCTAACAATGTCTCAGTCAATGATTGTAATTCAGATATTAGATTTACAAATTTTATAAAAAGTAAATTAGTGGATGTTAATTCATTAAAATACTTATTTGTTAAAAGAAAAGTTACTAATTCATGGATAACTTGTATACATGTTTGTAACCGCATAATTTTTGATTCTTCTAAAAAATCTTCCGAATCATTTTCACTATTTATAACTGGAACACAATTAGCCTTAACTATTTTATTCAATTTTTTAGATTGTACAACAACCCAATCAAAATTTGCATCATTTGATGGCCATTCACAAATAATTTTTGAATGAGCTAAATCAATTAAATGTTGAGTTTCATTCAATTTTCCTTTTAAAACTGTATTTTGTTTACTTAAATTAGGAGTTGTTTCATTATCCAAATTACTTTTAAGCTGATCATAGTCGTTTTGTAATATTTCATGTTTTTCTTTTATTTCGGTTAACTGACGGTAAGTTTCAAGTTTTTCACTAATGAGATTTTCAATTTCTGACTGACAATTGGCTATATCAGTTTCATGAATTTCATTAGCATCAATAAATTTATCATTCAGTTGCTTATATCTTGAATTTGCGAACTCTAAATCATTTGTTAAACTCACAATTTTTTTATCCAATTCATCAGTCTTAGCACGAACTTCTTTGAATCGAGATTTTAAATTTTTATAACGTACAAGTAACATTTTTGAATTGCCATTTACGACAGAATCTTTTGTAGGATTAGACTTTTCTATAAATTGTATTTCTTTATTACATAAATCTTCTGTAGATAAAGACAATTTTTCTCCATCAATATTATTTTCAAAATGTTCGGTTTGAGTAATTGCATTTTGAACATTTAATTTGAATTTTTCAGTGGGTTTTTCTACAGTTGTCATTGAAATCGATTTCTGAATTTCAATATGCTGATTTTTTAACACATCGTTTTCATTTTTTATTTTTTTAATGAATAATTCTAGTTCATTTAAGGAGTTCTGTAACAACACACCATTTGTCTCATCAATACTAATCAAACCTAATTTTGTTGAAATACTTCTTAAACATCGTTTTATTTTATCATTTTCATCTTTAATATTAATTATATTAGAGTTTTTTAAAGAAAGTAAATTATCTAAAGTAGGACCGTTTAAATCAGTTATAACTTTTTTATTTTCTAAAGAAATACTAGAAGGAATCTTTAATTTTAATGTATCATTATCATTTTTTAAGCATTCAATTAAATTTAGGAGTTCATTATTTTTCTCATGATACTCATTCTGTGTGGACAACTTAACTTTTTCAACAGCTTCAGATATTAATTTTTCAACTTCAGTACGAGCTATCAGTTGAGCTTTAGAATAACGATGTATATTATTTAAATTTATTATGTATTCTAGGACATTTATGGAGCCCAAAATAATTTTCTTAACACAAATGTGTAATTCATTATCATCATAAACAGTATTACAAATTGAATCAACAGTGTTAAGCAAATCAGCACCAAATTTAATATTACTATCATCAAAAGAAAACAATGATCCCATACTAATTAACACACTACGGAGTGTGTTTATACTTCGATTTTGTAAATTCGATTTTGTTATCATTTTGTTTAATAATTCATAACATTTTTGAAGCTCTAAATCGCAATATTGTACAACACTATTAATTTGTTTGTTATTATGAACAAGGTGTTCTGATTTTTGATTTGAAATTTGTATTTCTTTTGTTAAAGATTCAACTTGTTGCTGTAAAAGTAAACAATTGTTTTCAGTTTCTTTTAATGCCTTAACTTTTAACTTCAATAATTGTTTCTGTTTATGAAATCGATCTGATAATAATTTATTTTCTTCATTTTCAAAAACAGATCCATTTAATTTATCAGAAAGAGTGTGGTTTTCTTTTTTGAGAAAAGCCAACTCATTATTCATTTGAATAGTTTGCATGTGCAATTCACTAATCATATTATTTAATTCCAATATTTTCGATTCATTTTTATTAAGACAATTATTAAGCTCTAAAATTTCACATTTATAAGAATCATTTTCTTTCATAACAATATCTAATTGGTTAGTGACATCATTCAGTTTTGAAGTACTTTCATTAAATTTATTATTACAAATTGTAAGTGCATTTTTATCATGTTCATGTTGTTGAATCAACTGTTTTTTTTCTTGTTCATACTCTATTGATGACTCTTTCATAGCTTTTTCAAACGTTTCACGCATATTTTCTATAACAGACATTAAATCCGTGTTACGTTCTTTATGCATGTTAATTTCGGAAGTTGAGATTGTTATACTTTCCATTAGTTCTTCTATTCTTTCAGTTAATTTTATATTGGTATTATTTAATTCATTGTTGTTAATTTTTAATTCTTCAATCACATTTTCTAAAAGATTCATACGACCTTTATCATTAAGATATGCATCTTTTAGCTGAGTCCATCGATTGGCTGTTTGTTGAACTTCTATTACTTGTTTTTTAAGATCTTCATTTAATTTTTCATTTTCAATTTTTAATTGCTGAATTTCAGATTCTTTTTCTGTAAAAAAAATAAGTATCTATAGTTAAATAATTCATATTTATTACATAACATCAAGAGTTTTGTTATACTTATTTACTAATGTTTTGTTCATAAATACATATTACTAAAATTATTTTTAATAAATATTAATTTTGATACTCAAACTTGATATCATCATATAAATAAAATGCTGTACTTTTTTTCAATTGAAAAAAAAAATGTAATATTAAATTATGAATATTCTAAATAATTATAATTTTATACTGGAATAGATAAGATTAATGATATAAATAAGTGTAGCAGTATATTTTAGCAATTCAAGAAAGTTTTATATTAGTTTTAGTGTAAAACAATTAAAATATATTTAATCATAATTTATAATTTACTGTTTCAATAACTATTTTAATAATTACTAAATTTATAAAAATTATCTTTAACTGATTTTTAAATTTCAAAAATATATTTAATTATACCATTGAGTTGAGTTAGTAAATTATCTTTTTCTTGAGTATTTATAGGCTGGCTCTCCATTAACTCAATATGTTTTAATAAGGCATTGTTTTTTTCTTGTAAATTCTGAAATTCTTTTTTCATATCTAAAACTTAAAAATATAGAAATTAATAATGGTTAAAATGTAATGCAATAATAAAAAAAATTACCATCAACAATTTGTTTTTGACTATTTTCTAGAAGCAGCTTTTTCTGAAAAAAAAAAAAAAATCAATATTTTATGTTTCTTTTTTTAAACTTTAGAGATCTAGGCCACACCTGTAATGTACTATATATTTCCTTATCATACACAAATATTAAAAAATTCTTAATTGTAAAAATATAATAAAATTTAAAATAAATTATTTTGTACTGAGCCACAACACTTATATATATCGAAGGCATTTTGTTGAAAGGGCATATACCACAAAAAATCAAAATAATGAGTTTTTGGAACAAAATTTTCAGAACAATAGGCGCATAATTAGTAATATTGAGGCAGTTAAAAATATTAAGAATTATTCTCTATATAGCGGATATAAGTTATCCAAACGCCCTAAAGAATATATATATATATATATATTTTAACGGAGAATTTTAAAAGGGCGTATACTACAGGAATTGCTAGTGGTTTTATCGAATAAACTAAGCATTTGAATGATAATTGTTATCAAATTATCAACATGCCTACTATATAAAAGTATATCCAAGATCAACCGACCTTAGCGGTATCATTTTTAAAAACACTATTTTGTTTCTCCTGAACAATTTCAATTATGTGGTATACGTCATTTCAACAAAATACCATCGATATAATATACAACAAAACTGAACTTAATAATCATAATTGTTTTTAATTTAAAATCATCATACATTTATTAGTTTTTAACATAAATAATTTTAAAATATCACAAGTTTTTCACAATTTTTATTAAAAAAAACTATAGTAAAAGTTTTTTTTGTTAATAAGCATACTCAAAGGATAAAATTACTAACACTCTAACGAGGAATACAGTAAAAAGAATAAAATGTATATTTTAAACATTTGATGTATACTAACAACTTATTATCACAAAAATATACTGGTACTTGTAAAATGTATATAATATTATATATTTTATCAATAATAAATCTGATAATGAATTAATTTGAAATATCCTAAAATAAATTTATAAAAAAAAACTATGATCTTTTATTTTTAAATTTCAACTATATAATTTGGTGTATTAATAATACATTAAATATAAAAAACTCACTTCATTTTCATGGTTCATATTTAATTTTTCAATTTCTAATTTTAAACTATTTTCTTTTTTCCGTAATTCATTATTTTCCTTTTCAAATTTAATATTAGTCCTTTTCAATTTATCACATAGTCTATGGACGCTTTCCAAACTAAAATAAAGTTATTAAATATGTATATACATTAATGATTTATTGAATTTTAAAATAGAATTTTCATATTTTACTAACTCCTTTTTTAAATCTGCGGATTCTTCTGCAATTTGATTAATCTTTTGATTGCACCTTAAACGTTCTTCATTAATAACTTCCAAATTTCTTTTGTTTAATGATTCCGTAGTTTCCAAATGCAATTTATTCTTTTGCATGATTACTTTGTTTAATACCTCGATTTTATCAATTTTTGATTTTAATAAAATGTCTTTTTCATTTATAATGTTCTATTTTACAATAAAAAGTATGCACATGATTAATATTAACTAAAAATATTTCAACATTAAATAGCTTACATGATAATTTTCAAGTTTTTCATTCAACTCAATAATTTGATTCTTTAGTAAATTTATATTTTTTTCTTGAAGTTGTGTTTCTATGATATTTTCCTATAATATAAATTAATTAGTTATTCATATATCACAATAAAAAATTAATTATTATGCTACATTAATTAAATCATATTTACACATGCATACATTAAGTACTTAAATCTATTAATAATAAATCTCAACAATTAATAAAGTGCTATTAATACTATTAATAGCACTTATAATAATATAATTAATTACTATTAATAATAAATTAATCAAATTAACAAATAAATCACATTCGATAGCTGGGAACCAACTTTTCGGTTTACTTATGAATCAATAAATCTATATCCAAAACTAATAAAAAAATTGCAAACTTAAAAAATATATTATAACTGATTAATTATAAAACTAATAATAAGGAATAAAATATAATGGTTAAATCATAAAAAATGTATAAGAAAGTAAGAATTATTATAATTAAATAATATGAAAAATAAAATTAAATTACTATTAATTGTAATTTTAGATTCATAGGTACCAGAATTTATATTTTACATTGATTTCAAATTAAAAATAATTATAAATAACTTTTATATTAACCATAAAATAACTCTTACATAGAATTTCGTATTAATTTTTTTATTCTCATTTTGTGCATCCAATAACATACTATCTTGGGCTTGATCATTATTACTATAACTTTGCTCATCTATTTTACTGTTCTCAACTAACTTTCTGTAAAAAAAAAAAAAAAAAATTACAATTAAAATTTCAAAACAATTAAATTTACAAATTATTAGTACTTATTCAATTACATACATTAATCAAATTTTTTATCACATTTATAAATACAATTATTTGATAAATATATAAATATATATGGTTAATAAGTACATTTATGATTTATTATAACATAATCTAATAATCAATACACAATTATTAAAAGTATATTTTCTTTTAACCAAAACATTAACTACACTAGGGGTGGGCATGGAATCCGAATATCTGAATTATCCGGATTTATGAATTTGCTTTTTATATAACTTATAATTATTTTTAATATTTAGTAAAATAAATTATTTTATATTTTATATTATATTATATTATATTATATTATATTATATTCTATGAATTTCAATATATTTATCATGATTTTAACAGTTTTTATAACGTATAATTAATTGCCAAAATTACAATTTAATAATTTTTTGAGTTTCCTTTATACCTGTATGACTTACAGTGATATCAAGACTGAATACCCAATAACTTATCTTAACTGCATAACCTTTAAATGGTTATTAAATAAGATTTTCTGAGATAAATTGAATTTATACTACAATACAATATAATTAAGTATATGTAAATATAAAAATGAGTAATTGAACAGTAAAATTGAATCGAATAATCCGGATAGTTCAGATAATCCATGAAATCCAGATTTTCTAAATCCAAATTTGCCCATCATTAATCTACACATGCAAAAATGTAAATTTCCAATTAATATACTGATATTTAAGTAAAAATAAAATTTAAATAAATGAATAGTAAATGTAAATATTAAGGGACTAAATACACCAATTATAATAAATATTTACAGCAAACAAATTTATACATTTTACTTTAACTATTGATTAAAAAATAATTAATTATTTCAACTTAAGAATTAACATAAAAAATGTTTATCCATATTTTAGTTTTGAATGTAAATATAAGCAAAATTAATTCTTGAAATTTTTTTTTTTATAATTTCATTAGCATTTTTGTCCTAATTTTAAAATTAAATAGTATTAATATATAAATATGATCTTAATAACAACGAAACAATTTCTTAAAATATTTATATTGTATTATAATTTATTATATATACCTATTATGTTTGTTAATACACATGTTCCATATGAAATTTTAAAAACTTAAAATTACTGTCATTTTTTTATTACTTAGATATTAATACAATAAATAAAACATTTAATTTATTATATAAGTACTTAAGATTATATTAATTTTAAATAAAAACTATTATTTAATTATTAACTATTTTTAAATAAATTAATATACTTATTCAGCAGATTTATATAAAAGCAATTATTTTAAATGTTTATAATAAATACACCTTAGGGTATAATAAATATTTCAATGATTTTTCAAAGAATCTTAAATCATATAATCATGTCACTGCATATATTTGAACTCAAAATATAATAAATATTAGTTTATGATAAAAATAAATCAATTAGGTAATTAATTGATATCATACCTGTCATTTTCTAAAAATTGGCGGAATAATAAAACTTTTTCACTTGAGTCTGAAGTAATATTACTATGAATTGACTCTACACTATCTGTTGAAGTAAAAGGTAAAGGTGTGTTACATCGACTAGAAGATGTTTGGTATCTACCTTGGTATTTTTCAAAACGTTTACCAATTTCCTAAAATAATGATTATACATTAATAATACATATAGTGAGACCAACTATGTTATATGGTTTCAGTAAAATATTTAAAGGGGGGTGTTAGAGGTTTCTACCTCCCCCCCCAGAGAATTTCAAGACCAAAAATTTTTAAATTTTGATCAATTTGAAGTTTGTTAATTTTGAAAATTCAAAAAAAATTTTTTTTTTAAATTTATAAATTTTATTAAGTTTATAAAAACTAATGAGATCTGGGTACAATAATGTAGGTATTTTTGACTGTGCAAGTTAAAAAACATTATTACACTTCACAGGCTATTGCCTATTGTTGTAGCCTGTAGTTTGCAGAAAATTGCTGTCTACTAATTGTGGAGATGTTGGATGAAGATTGCATTTTGTTTCAAAAAAGACTTAATGGTCTTGCCATGTTATCTATTCATTCAGATTTAAATATTACTACTGATGGAATTATTGACAAATTGGCAAATAAAAGAAGAAAGCTAGAGTTTATCATATAGTTTATAATCAATGAAATTACATTTTTCAATAAAAAATAATAAAAAAGATAAAAATTTAATTTTGACAATTTTATACTGATTTATAAAAAAAAAAGGATGATGAAACCTCTCCAAAAAATTGTTTGTAAATACGCCCCTGTATAGTTCTTAGTGTTAGGCGATTAATAGGAGAACAGAACAGAGTATGAACGTTGCGGAAAAAGAATGCTAAGATAGATGAGTGAAACAAGAGAAGAAATAAGTAGAATAAAAAACTTATATGTGAGAGGTAGTATTGGTATAGTGTTAATTGTGGACAAGATGAGAGAAAATAGACCAAGATGGTTTGGTAACATGATGAGGTGAGGAAACAAAATTAGTAAAATTGGTTATGAAAATGAACATCGAAGAGAAAAGAGGAATAGGAAAACCAAAAAAGAGATAGTTGGATACAATTGAAAATTATATGAGTGCATAGGAAATGTAGAAAATCGAGATGAGTGGAGGTTTAGGATAAAGGTGGCCGATCTCAAATAGTTGGGAGAAAGGCGGAAGAAAAAGACATTAATAAAACATATGTACATTAATATTTTTTGACAATACACTAACATAAAATAAAATAATATTTTAACAATCAGGTAACTAGATAAGCCAAATGTAATATCAAGTTAATATTTTTCAATGATAACATAATAAAAATAAGTCATTTATCATCATAAACAATGCCAACCAACACTGAAATAAATAATTGTGCTAGGTATGACATAAAGATAGGTAGTTATAAAAAATTAAAAAAGAAACATTAAATTAGGATTTTAACCCATACCAGTGAATATTAATACTCTGTGTATGAATAGCATAAATATGAAAACTAACTTCAGCTTTAATTTTCATCTGCTTTGTTGTTAACTCTTCGCCATTGTCATCGTCAGCATTAGAGTTTTGATCCTCCATAATGGTAAAACTTTTTGATGTACTGGTTGTCTAGTTTCTAATTTATCTCACAAGTAAAAGTACTAAGAAACACAAAATAAATATTAGAATATTCGAGACGATCATTCATGATGAAAAATATTGCACTTAAATTTAAAGTTAACAAAAAAAAAAAACCAGCAATCGAGACGGCGACGACTTCGATAGTTCAAATCTAACATCCGCTGGACAATCCAGAATAAGAATTAAAAATTCAACATATTCGAAGCCGCTAAGATTATTATTAATGTAGGGCACGTCACTGATATGGCGAACACAAATTCACCATGTAGGCAGGTCCAAAACATCAAATTATTGTGCTAATCATTAAGCACGTATTATTTTTCCGTTGATAACAATAAATATAGTGTCAGCACTATTTACCATAATGATAACACGACAACTATCAATTGTTACTATCAGTGTATTCTTAGCACATTAAACTACGATATCAAAAAATACTAGCACTAACTAATCATTTTGTTATTATTATTACTATTACAGTAATACCGTTCGAACTATGAATTGTTCAATTAATTATTTACGGACAGTTAAGTACAAACAATGAAACTCAACAATTTTCCATTTATCTAGATTAGTAATCAATTATTTTATTTGAACTCATAACCTATCAGGTATGGACATATAAAAATCTAATGGAACGCCGAATTCAAATAGCCTTCATTAATAAAATTAATTAAATGTTACATAATATTGACAAGACGCACTTGTCCTAACTGGATTTTTTTTTAAATAAAAAGCGAATTTTAATTGCTTACATGATTATAATTTAATGGGTAATTAATTGAAATCAGACAATATGGAAGAAATTGATTCAATAATATTTTGTACTCTAAAAGGAATTGGTTGGTGAGTAATTTTCAATTTAACACAATTTTAATTTTGTAAGTAACACATTGGCGTGTGTAGAGGTTGTGCAGAGTATGCAGCTGTAATACCCAATGGAACTTTTTTTCTAAAAATGCATAAAATAAATAAAAATCGTAATGCATTTGGTTTTTAAATGTTTATTATGTGATTTTGTATTACATTATAATTTTCAGTATCTTATTATTTATTTTTGAAACACACATTTTATACTACAGTTAGGATTTAATGTGTTAATGAAATTAAGAAGTACTATGCTTCAAGAGTGATAGAATACCTTTTAAATATAGAGCAAAAAAGAGCTTTAAATTAAAATCCCAAAGAAATTATTGGTAATATTAAGAACTCAACTGAACGCAGAATCGTTTTATGATTAATTATAATTATTTATCAAATATATTTTAATTTTTTGAAATTTTTTTTCGTAATTTATTTTAAATTTTATATATAGGTAGATTTTTTTTTTTTTTTAAAAAAATTAAAATTTTAATTTAAACAGTTATTTAGACATTTGTGTAAATATTTTTACCAGCATTTTGAATGCTTAAATTAACTGTCGGTGATGGCAGGGATAAACAGTGGCAAGCTTTTGTATACTCTAAAAAAGAATTCTATGCACGCCTATAAAGCAACATGAATTAATTAATTGCTAAAAATATAATTTCTTTCTTTTAATCAAACTTTTAATTTGAACCAAGTTACTGCAATAAATCAATTTTTTATTAAATTCAACAAAAGATACTGTACTTAAAATATTAAATGTTGATCATAATTAAAATTCATTTAATTTGTTATATAATTATTTGTTTAGTGAATTCTCAGAACACGAAACTTCAATGACCAATATAGCTCAAGAAACATTTATAAAGGGTATAATAATATGTTTACAAAAAATTCAACCGACCATTAGTATACCTCATACTATTCCTAGATCTATGTCTGCCAGATACCAATATGGTATCACAGTAGCAGATGCTTGTAAAGTAAGATCATTGGTAATACAACTTTCATAAGTATAGGTACAAATTATATTATTAAAAGCCAGAAAATATAAATAATTCAAAACATATGTAATACATATGTAAATTAATAAATACAACATTTATCAAATATTTATTTATCTATTATATATTATTATTATTATATTAGGTACCTATTATTTTATTATTTGTCTCATTTTTTTTTTTTTTTTTTTTTTTTTTTTTATTTGACTCAGATCATACAATATCAATTTATATTTTTTTAGTTATCAAATGTCAAAAAATCGGCATTCTTAAATAAAAAAATGGTTTTTTATCTTTTTTTATCATAATATAGTACATGACAATTTAAATATAACACCATATATTTTTAAAGAATTAAGTGTATCTAATTTTTTGTAAAATATATAATGAAATAAGCAAATTATAAGTAAGTTAATAATTTGTAATTTATTTTATTTAAAATACGACTTACATTTTCTAAATCTTATTGGGTTATTATGTTTTTATTTTCTTAACCTTCACCTATTTAAAAACCTGATTGGTTTATAAACAACCATATGTATACTAGAAAATTAATTTTATTTTATTTTTTATTAAATAGTTTTACAAAGTAATATTAACTTTTAATAGTTAATTGAAATATTTTAATTTCATATTTAAATTCTTTAATGTATTTTAAAAGTGTTTAGGTATACAATTAAATAAGATTTAATTAATTTAGTTCTGAAAAATTTAAAAAAAAATACAAATGACTAATATTTTCATAATTAGAACCTAGTTCAATTAAGAGTTCACTTCACATAACTATAGTATCTAAATTATATAAAAATATTTATTTAATATTAATTGATAATTTGATTATCAGTTTAAAATAATATGTGTATTATGTTCATAAACTATGAAGTAAGATAAAATTTAAAAATTATTATATATTGTAAAATGTATGACTATAAATGATTCAACAAAATCATTAATTTTAGTTTTAACATAATTATCTCGATACATTTTATACAAATTAAAAGCCATAGCTTTTGTATATTTTTATTTATTTTATATTTTTTTTTTCAGAAAGTTGGCTATAAATCTGACATAGGATATCAAACTATTTTATATGGTGATATTGTTGATATGAGAAGAATATTAATGTTTTTAATCGAAAAATTACCTAAAGAAACTGAAAATATAATAGAATATAAAAGTATGTTGTTTATATTTAAATCTATTTATTTAATTATTATATACTCAATTTATTCAAAAATGTATTTTTATAATATACGGGTTGAACCCTTTGTGAAAAATAAGTATATTAAATAATAAATTATTAATTAAAAAAAAAAAAAAAAAAAATTAATAAAAATATTAGTAAAAATAAATATAGTATGTTATACATATCATATTATTATTATTATTTATAATTAATTAATTGATTAATAATATTATATATATATAAAATATAAATAATAGCGTTTCTTAATTATTATTTTACTTTTTTTTAAATAATTAATAAATAAATAATTTCATATTGTAAAAATATGATTATCTAATAGTCATATTTAATTTTTTTTTAGATAAACGGTTCACAATAATTAAAGAACTTAAAAGAATTTTATCATATACTAGACAAACATTAGACTCTTCATCATTATCAAATTATTCATTTGTGTCTGTTCCCTTGGACACAGGTATCTCAGTACCTGGACATAAAAGAGATTGTACACCTGCCGGTAAGATATGTTAAACATTTTTACTTTTAAAATATTTCTAGTAAAATATTTAAGCAATTAAAAAAATTAAAACATGGTAATTTTTATAAATTCATAATATTTTTATACTAATCTAATTGAAAACATCACAATTATTAGTATGTATGTAAGTGAAATTATATGTTACACTACTTTTTTATACACAATTTTTAATAATAAAATATGTTTTATTTAGAATGGAGAAATTTCTGTATTAATAGTTTAAAATATATAACTGAACAACCATCTGATATGAAATATTTAATTCCTTCTCTAATTACTCTTAATACTAAGAGATTATTAAATATCTATGAGTCAAAACTCAATTCAACAGATAATTTACCAAAGGTGAATTTAATATTTAATATTTAATAATAAGCTAAATTATGTACATTTTACTTTTATTTTATATACACTGTATAGTAAAAATTTTAATATAGATATTTTAACTATCACAAACTCAAATTATCATATTTTAGTCTAGAATCTACCATGAAAAAATTAAAACAAGCAATGTACCAATTATAAGTACTCATAATGCAATTGATCAAAATAAAATTGTCAATATTATTAAAAACGAACCAAAAGAATCTCAAGAATTAACATGTATTGAAGAACTTCTTACTCAAAATTGCGAACTGAAAAGTTTAATTTTAAAAGTAATATATTTTTTAGTAACTCAATCAATAGTTAAAAATGCATCTATTATAAAATTATTTTATAGGAACGTTCCTCCAAAGAAAATCTTCTAGCTGAGTTAAAAAGGTTGGAAAAAGAAAATACTGTTAAAGTAAAAAGTTTAAATATCATTAATAATCCTGAGATAATTTCCAAATTAAAAAATAAAATAGAAGCGTCACCAGATAAAATTAAAAAAATGAATAATAAATGGAGCAAATACGAAAATGAACAGATATTAATTTTATCTCAGTTAAATGCAGAAATAAATAAAAAACGAGTAAGTAAAATAAATATATTTTACATTAATACATATGAATATTATTTAATTTTATATTATTTTGTATACTAATATACTATGTGTATAAACATATAATTATTTTGTATATGGTAATTATAGTATTTGATTTTACATATTATATTAAGTTAATTTTAGAGACTCGACTTTGTAGTTTAATATCTTTGTTTGGAATATATAATTTAGATCAGACGTTATATTTTAAAAGACCTGAGTATATTTTAAATATTATTGTGCTTATGATAGCTTATTTACTTATCTCTTATGCTTGATGTTTATTAAAAGTATAAAATGTTTAATGAAAATTTATGAGATTCATGTTTAAAAATATTTAATCAAAATGAAAAATGTACCGATTATTGCTTATTATTTATTAAATTCCCAATCGACAATGATAACTAATATGACATGGTTTTTTACTATGTTTTATTGAATTATAGTGCAGTAGAAACTCGATCAAACGTTAGTATCAGGATCGTGTCTGTAACGGTTAATCGGGCAGTAATTGTTAAATATATATATAGCCGTAAGACTAGGTTACTTGTTAGTCACTGATTAAATTTAATTAAAAATAAATCAATTTGATCGTTCACGTCGCGTTTGTCCCATATGTTGGATATTAGTATACATTTCCTAAAAGTTTCGCTGCAACGAGTTTATCGCGATTGCCTCATTAACGATAACAATGACGAATAACGGAGAATGACGGTTAATCGGTTAACAAGTTTATTTAACTTTATTAAAAAATATATTTTATCTTTACATATTTTTAATAAATTTAATTTGGTCACATAGAGTTATTTTTATACCAAAATCATGATATATTAGATGAAATAATGGTATAGATTCTTCGAAATACTCATTGTTAAATTCTATTTTAATTTTATGTAATGTTAATAAAGTTGAAATTTCAGTCTTTATTTTTTTCTAGTAAAGGTACGGTATCCAAGGCGCAACCTATTTCGTATAGTTTGGTTTCGAAAACACGACATGTCACAGCAGCACAACTACTTTTCAATCAGCATTCATAATTAACATATGGTTTTAGTTTATTTTCAAACTTGTCAGAGTACGAATATCTTTTAAATTAAATTTTACAATAAATAGTTATGTTTATAATAATAATAACATTCTTCATTACCAAAAACTAGAAAACCTATACAAGAAATATCTAAATATCGAGAATGTGAAGGATTATATGAAATGATTTTATTATGTTTTTATAATTTTAATCTCCAATATTATAAAGAGCCAAATTATTTTGTACCTCTTGTATAAGAATTTCGTCTTCAAATGTAGAAAAAACCTAAGCAAAAGCAATTATGTTGAAAATTTACAACGATCGCTATAAAATGTCGCGCAGTACTACCCCCGGAGCAGTATTGTCGTCGGTCGTCGTGGTTTGTCACGCATTATAAACAAATATGATATTCGTGCTAGCTCTTACTGACGACATGTCGTCGCGACTTTTCGCGCCTAGGACTGTTTCTAAGCGAACATTTTGCATGCATGTTTGTACTTGTATACTGATGTTTTTCTATTTACATTATTATAAATTTAATTATTAGTAATTAAAATATTTTTAAAAGATAATTTTTATTAAAAATATATTAAGTATAAAATAATATATTTGAATAGAATATTATTATCATGAAGTATCAATTCATAACAGACTATTTAAACAATATACTATTTTTAACATATTATTGTGTAGTATTCAAAACTATTGGGAGATAATGCAATAATAACGCGTTTATAAATAATTATTTTGTTATCTTGTATAATTTTGCCTATTGAAATAAAATAAAATTTACTTATCTAAATGAACAAAACAATTTGGACCAATTAAATTAATTCAAAATTCAAAATATTTGACATTCTGGTTAAATTACTAAATAAATCACCGTCTTATGTAAATATTTCTTCACTGAAAAATGTTTTTCCAACTATTTTGTTTTTAATTTTTTTTTTTTTTATGTTATACCATTCTATACAGTATTTTACAGTATAACAAACGTAGTAGCGCTAATGCAGCATGCGACTTGTTTTAAATTTGACATGATCACGACTGTTGGCAAACATATAGCAAACAACTAAATTATGAACGAACATTTGACAAACAATGTTCTCCCAAACGTTTGTTAGGAGTGGTTTTTTTTATAATTTATAAAAAATTCAAATTTTGTTTATACTTAAACATATAAAACCGTGTACTATTCTGTTTCTTTAATTTTTGACTAACCATTGTTCGTTTAATAATTTAAAAGTAATGATAGATGTGATAATTTAACTTAAATTAGATTAAATTAAATTGATTAAACTACTTAATTGCTGAATTTCCAAAAATATGTGGTTTTTTGTTGAAGAGGGTTCATTTAAATTTTTTTTTTAAACACTCACCTACTGATTCAAAACAATTTATAAATCATTTCCTCTCTCATTTGATAGGGCTCAAATGTACAAAATTATCTTAATGCTTGTTTATTTATAGTTAAATTATGTTTATTTAATAAATTATTATATAGTTAATATTTGAGTTTTACAAATTTATTTATTTGTTTAAATTGCAAAGGTAAACTATGCATGTTTAATATATTTTTAATAATTAATTTTTAATTTTTAGGCTAATAATAATAAACTAGAAGTTGTATATGCTAATGAAAAATTAAAATTGCAAAATATCTTTGAAGAAATAAAAAAAAAAGAAGACATTATTAAGATATGCAGAAATGATTTAGAATCAAAGTCAAATTACAATTCAAGGTCTATTTTCGTAATAATTTTGTTCATAAACTTTGTTTATTATTCATAATATTTAATTATATTTTATATTATATTTAAAATTTATTTAGGTCGAGTTATACTCAGAGAATCTTAGAAATTATATCAAATATCGAAAAACAAAAAAAAGAGATTAATAAAAATATAATGGAAACCAGACTAGTTCAAAAGGATATAAATTCCTTAGATGGTAAAGTTGAACGATGTTTTATATCAATTGATGAATTGATGTTTAAGGTATTCAGTAAAAATATAATGAATTATTACTCGTATAATAAGTTTAAAAAATAATATTCAGGTTGCGAAAAAGGATGATATAATTAGAAAATGTTATAAGCTATTAGCTGCTATTCATTCCAATAGTTCAAGTATTATAGCATCCGTTAAACAGACTGGTACAATTGGAAGAGAAATTAAAGATTTAGAAGAACAGGTACTTGCATAATTTCAAATTTTTATTTTTGTTTAAAATTGTTAAAAATCCATTAATTAAATTTTTTAACTAAACATTTTAAATATTTTTTACCTATTGCTCAGTTATAAAGATTAAATATAATTAATAGTCATTATATATTTGAAACTGCTATTTTCTTGTTAAAATTTTCTATCCTAATTATTTCAAAATGATTGAGTTTAGAATCTTAATTTTAATGGTTATCAATATTAAATTTATTAATTTTTTACTATCTTCTTGTTATAATAATAAACTTATAAATCGGATTTTTCTGACATACTCTTAGACAGTAAACAATAATAAAAAATTGTATATAATTTAATTAAATACAAATTTAAAAATACTATAATTTGTATTTAATATTAATTATTTTGCTTAATTTTCAGATCGAGAATGAAAATCCTCATCAAGCTACAGCTAACATACAAAAACTAAAACAAGATTTGGAATTAGTTAAAAATGAACAGCTTATTTTATTGAAAAAATTGAAAGTTGATCCATAAGTATACATAAAATTGAAATAAACAGTGCTACTTTTTATAAAATTAATATTTATAAAAAAAAATTTTTACATCAATTATTTATTAACAATATTTGTTATTTATTGTAAAAATTATTTTAATAACTATAAAAATTAAAAAAAAAAAAAATATATATCTTTTATATTTTTACTACATCTAAATTTTTATTTTCAATTCTTAATGATAAAATAAATTGTAATTGAACCAACATTAAGATTAAGTTAACATTACAAAAACTTTATTACCACTAATTCTGAGTAATATTGTTCTTAAAAATTTTTAGAAATGTAGAGTACAAAGTTTTTCATAAAAACTATACTGAAAATAGTTAATTCGTCCTCCAACAAGATTAAAAATCCTAAGAATTTGTAAAAAAAAAAAAGGAAATTTTGTATGTCTTATTCTAGCTTTAGATATTATATTTTTCCTCTTTATACTATTACTATGTATGTTGTTTAAATAAGGTTAACCCAAATTTACAATAAAAAAAACTTCCACATTCTCCTTCATTTATAACTTTTGAATTAGAATATTTACTATTGTATAATTTTGTTAAAATTGAATTTAAAATATTAAATATGTATCTATAACTTTACTGAATAAATAAATACTAAATTACTATTTGCTAAAATATATTAATTTAATACTACAATTATACTGATATTATTCAAAACTTTATTTTTTTTTTTCAAAATAAAATTTGAATACCATTTTAACCTAAGTCTGACGGGGCATGGGTATAATTGTAACTTTTAAATTTTTAAATTGATATAACTTTCAACTCATAAATTGTAGAGACTTGAAATGTTGTGACATCTTTACATTATTAGTTGAATATATATAAACAACTTTTGAAAATCAAATCTTACCCATTTCCCAAAATATGAAGTTAACTTTTTTTTTCACCCATTAGGGCCATTATAGTTACAATTATACCTTCATATATTTTGTATAGGATGAGTTAAAAAAAGGATTGATTTTTTTTTTTTTAACTAAATTCATCAATTTACAAATATACAAAGCACTATTTTAATTATAATAGGATTATTAAACTTTCTTTATTAATTTTCACGAGTAACACATGGTATTTTTGGGGATGAATATTCATTACATACAGGTTGTTCACAAACCACACAGCTTTTTCTTGTCTTACGTTGTTTCCTCTTCTGGTCTTGGCAGAATTTACAATTACCAACTATAGGAGTAGTTCCACGACTGCCAACTGTTATTTGAAGATCACCTGCTACTTTTGGTTGAGTTGCAATGCGTCGTCTAAGCATCATTTGTACCGAACTTCAAAGAAAATTAGCCAATTATGTCTAATATATTGTTGAAAAATGCCAAAGGCCAACGTAATGTTCGTCTTTTCACTTTGTACTCAGCTATCGTTTTATCCATACTATCAACTCCACCTTTAGTTTTGTTCTGATATTTTATTATCTCGGGTTTAGTTGACTGTGTTTGCTCGATTTCATCAATCATGTGCATAGATAATAGAAGCACGATTGATTAATTTTTTTTTTTGGGACGTATAAGCAGACGGTTGCATCACAATTATAGGCAAAATGAGTTGAGTGTATAGGCCTTTCTTTGACAGGTCGCATACTGCTTGACAAAAACAGTTTGTTTTTTTTTTTACAGTACTAAAGTCATGTTCTAAGAGTTCATTCCCATACAAATATATATGGCAGCACAATTGTACCTATGCCGCCTAATAATGTTGTAAAATTATACCGTCGGATGAAGATTAAATTTTAGGAAAACTTTTTTGAATGTTCAATAGAAGCTATTCAAATATAATTCAAGATCAAATATAAATCCAGTAAACACTTGTTATTCCAATAAACGCTTTTAAATGTTAAACTGGACCAAGAAATATTAGTAAGAATGTTGGTAGGTTTAAAAAAACTGCTTGCAATGAACTATTATACTTTAAATGTTCCTATGAAGACGATATTTTTCGACTCATATATATAACCATACTTTAAATAATTTTTAATGTATCTTTTAAGAGACACATTCTCATGTGTTTATGGATTTAAAATATAACTAAGATACAGTTCAACAATAGCATTAACGATAATATATTTATTAAGTAAGACAAATCATTTTTTCAATATATACATACAAGCAGGGTGGCTAGAAAGGCTGAAGACCCCCCCCCCTTAAGAAGTTAAATTTTTTTTAAATTATCTTTTAGGTCTATTAGTAACCTTTTCTAGGGTAAGTTCTAGGAAAATTCAAAATATTCAATTGGTGTAACAAAATAATGTCAATGTAATGTATATGTCGTAGGCATATAGTCAAATCAAGCATTTTACTAAATGCCTAAGCATATAGTCAAAGAATTTAATATTTATTCAATTTCATTATCTGCCTTAGTTAAATGCCTATTTCATGTCAGGCAAATAATAAAAAAACATTTTGTATTATTTTAAAAATTTAAATATTTTTTCTATCAGTAATTTATTGCTATTATATACCTATATAAAAAAGCTATGTATTATTTATTTATATGTAAAACACGTTGGTATATAAAATACAAGTAATATATTATATAATTGTTTTAAAAATGAAATCATAAAAATAAATAAAAAAGTTATATTATAATTACAAGTTTTTGTTACCAATTATTAGTTGTCACATGTTGTTATTTAGTGGCATTTGCTGGAACATTTGAGGTTTTTCTTAAAACATAAAAATAAATAATAAAGTTATATTACAATTAAAAGTTTTTCTTACCTATTACTTGTTGTCACATGTTGTTATTTGGTGGCATTTGCTGGAACATTTGAGATTTTTCTTAAAACATAAGCACCGATTGGTTTGACATTGCCACTTTCCTGATTGACATTGACATTTAACAAAACTTTGACCGTTGTAAATTGATAAGTTTGCTACTGCTTCACGAATGGATACAAATTTGTCTTTTTGTACTTTGCTGTCTTCTAAACCATTATTTGACACTAGTTGAAGTTCTTCTCTTCAACACCAATTTTTTACTATACCAACTTTTGTGCCAATTTGATAAACGCCGTTCCAAATCACTAACCCATTTATATTTTGACTATCGAGAGATCCTCGGTCTACTTTTGGAACACTTAATACTATTTGATCACCAACCTTCAGTTCTTTAAATAGTTTTTCACAATTTTCCACCATTTTTTTAGTTGCGATTGATTGTCGTTTGTAAGATTCAATGCGGCTAACTTATATCTGTTTTTCATTATTACATATCAGACAAATATTTTCAATATCATTACTATTATTTATAGAATAGCTGTAATTATCAGAATGAATATTTCTTTTACATCTAGTACATTGGAGTTCACTACCTGATTTTTCATTAACACCGCTGATATTATTTATGTCACAATATATATTTTTTTTTTAAGGTATATTGTCAACATTATGTTCTAAATTGTCTTGTAAAATATTTTCAAAGTCTTCTTCATTTGATAATTTTTGAATAATTTCGGCAGGTAAGTTTGTAGAACTAAGACCTACTTTCGGTTCAGTGCCAAACAAGGCTCGATATGGCGAACGACCTAAAATTCGATGATGTGAAATGTTTTTTTGCCATTGCATAAAATATACTCCGATTGACCACTTGGTACTTTTATTATCTACGACCCAAGCTCGTAACATGTTTTCAAATTATTAATTTGATCTACAAATCCCTAACTCTATGGGTGCCATGGCCGCCCATGTACTATTATATATTCAGGCCACAATTCTGCCAATTCTTCAATTATTTTCGCTGTAAATTTTCGCCCATTATCAGACTGAAGTATTTGAGGTGCTCCTTGTTTCAAAAAAATGTTTTAAAGTTCATGTGCAACTTCGATGGCTCGTTTGGAAGTAAGTGGTCGAAGATATAAATATTTGGTTGCGTGATCCTGATAGTTCATCATCCATTTAAAATTTCCATCGGGTGGTAATTGGAAATCAATAAGGTCAATTTGTCATCTTGAATTAAAATCTGGCGATAATATTGGTTTTACAACGACGCCTTTACAAGGTTTTGATTTTTTTACGTTACAAGTTGTACATAAATTAATAAATATTTGGATTGCTCTTCGAGGAATATTGTATTTATTTTTTAAATATCGCTCAACTTTATCCCTTCCACCATGACCAGTTATTTTATGACTTTCTTCGATTTTTTCAAAATAGTTTTTGTTATGGTATCACTGTTGTTCAAACGCATGTGTATGTGTGTGTGTAAAATGTGTATAAGCAACGACCATTCTTGCTCACTCTATAATTGTTATCACTCGACACAGTCGTGATCTGTTGTTCACTAATAAACTTTCGTTAATTAGTTACCTAATTATTTCAGTGTTTTATTTTGTTCATAAAACACAAACACAACATGGTGTCAGGTGTCATCGATTCTGTGTCTTCCGTTTTCCGTTAAATAAAATAACCTCGTCATATTATACTCATAATAATATTGTAGGTAACCTAACCTAACTGTCGTATTGTCATTTAGTGTCGTCATCAAAAACCATGTGTATCTAAACATTTTTTTTTTCTTCCGCACTATGTCTGTCTACACTTTTGAAACATGACGTCTGGATTGATTGGTAGTCTACCACCATTATCCGTAGAAGGTAATCTATGTCAATATTGGAATGAATGGATTCAATACTTTAATATTTATATGACTACCAGTGGGTATAATTCATTAAAAGAATTTAGGAAAGTGTCGATATTCCTACATTTTATCGGTAAGCCAGCGCTCAAAATATTTAATTCTTTTAATCACGATATTAAAACAGTTTCACTGGAAACTGTTATCGCTTGTTTGACTACTTTATTCCTCGGAAAAATGTCACTATTGAACGTCATAAATTTTTCACAAGATTGCAGTCTGCAGATGAAAGTATCGGTGAATACGTTGCAGATCTTAAAAACTTAAGTATGTCTTCCGAATTTGATACACTACGTGAGAGTCTTGTAAAAGACGTTCTTATATTTGGTCTACATAATAATTGGCAACAATTAAAGCAACATTTATTAAGAGAAGATGAATTGTCTCTTGATAAGGCTCTGAAAATATGTTCATCGATGGAGTTGTCTAATTGTACAGAACAATTAAATAATCCCAGTGAAGATTTGCTGACGGTTCAAACAACTAAAGTATCATCATCAAGTTGTTCAAGAAAAAATTCACAGTCAAAGTCAAAATGGTCGCCTCAAAGCAATACAATTCAAAAGAGGGAGACGTCAAGTTCACAAAAAAGGAACAATAATGGTAGGTAAGTATGTCAATAGTAAAAATAATAATTGTACTCGGTGTGGACAAATACATAAATTTAAATGCCCTGCGTTTGGTGTACAATGTAATAATTGTAAAAATTATAATCATTTTGCCAAATTTTGTAAGTCAAAGTCTGTTGAAGTGATTTCAATAGAAAGTAATAATGTATCAGAATCTGATCAATTATTTGTTGGTACTGTTAATACCATTAATAATAATAGTTCTCAAACATGGCAAATTGATTTATATATTAATAATATTCCTATTAGTTGTCTACTTGATACTGGTGCACAAGTTAATATAATGTCTCTTAATAACTTATTAAAACTTAAAATTAGTGAATCCTCTATTATTAGACAAAATACAACTAAGCTTATGTCAATACATTCAATAGATATTCTTACACTAGGTACATGTAGTCTTAGATGTTGTTTTAAAAATAGTTTTGAAGTCATTACATTTTTTATAGTGGATTTTGATTGCATAACTGTGTCGGGTTTGGCATCATACAAACAACTTAATCTACTACAACGAGTTAATGTTGTTAATAATAACTGTAGTCATAGTGTACTAGAAGATTATAAGGTAATAAGTATAAGTATTTCAAGGTCTTGGCTGTCTACCTATAAAGTGTCATATTCATATCAACCATGAGGTTCAACCTATAATTGATGCACCTCGTAAAGTTCCTTTTGCTCTGTATGAACAACTTCATAAAGAATTAGATAATATGTGTCATTTAAAAGTTATAGAAAAAATTATGTCACCAACGTCATGGGTTAGTTCTATAGTCATAGTGAAAAAGAAAAATAATAAATTAAGAATATGCTTAGATCCTAGAAATTTGAATAGAGCAATTAGTCGCTCTCACTATCCTCTTCCTACTTTTGAGGCAGTTAAAACTCAACTGAGTGGCACTAATTTTTTTTCAACGCTAGATGCCAATTCTGGTTTTTGGATGATACCACTTGATGAGAAAAGCTCTGAGCTCTGTACGTTCAATACACCTTTCGGTAGATATAAAATTCTTAGGTTGCCATATGGTTTAAACTGCACACCTAAAATTTTTCATCGTATTATTACTGAATTGTTCTCTGATATTAGTGGAGTTATTGTTTATATTGATGATTTAATTGTAACAGGAACAACTATAGAAGAGCATAATCAACGACATAAGAAAGTTTTGGACAGAGCTAAGGAAGTTAATTTAAAATTTAATAAAAGTAAATGTATAATAGGTGTAACTGAAGTAAAATTTTTGGGTCATGTTTTTAATAGTGAAGGGGTTAAACCTGATCCTGATAAAATTACAGCAATTGTCAATATGTCTTCACCCAAGTCAGTTAAAGATTTACAAAGATTTCTGGGCATGATAAATTATTTAAGTTCATATATTCCTAAATTAGCTGATGAGACAACACTTTTGCGTTCACTGCTTAAAAAGAGTACATCATGGGTATGGGATGAAAACTATGAGTCTGTGTTTAATAAGGTTAAAAACTGTATCATAACTACATCTGTCTTATCTTATTATGAAATGTCATTACCATTAACATTGTCAGTTGATGCATCCCAATTTGCAGTTGGAGCAGTTATTTTACGAAACAACAAACCCTGTGCTTATGCTTCACAAACCCTCACTTCTGCACAACAAAACTATGCCCAAATACATTCAAAAAACATTCAGTCCCTACTAGATTACAATGTATGATGTTAAATATTCAATCTTATCATCTTAACGTTGAATATGTTCCTGGTAAACTCATGGTTTTAGCTGATACTTTGTCTAGGGCCCCACTTCCAGACTTATATAAGGACAATATAGATGAAGAATTAATCTTGCAAGTTCAAATATTTTCTGAAAACTTAGCCATAGGAAAACAACATCTTGAAAAAATAAAAAATGAAACTTTAAATGATACAGTATTTCAGAAAATTAAAAATATCTGCATGTCTGGGTGGCCTCTTAAATAAGTCTCTTCTTGATAATACTCTCAAACTTTTTTGGACTTTCAAAGATGAAATTCATGTTATTGATGACTTAGTGTTTAAGGGTAATTGTCTGGTGGTTCCTACTAGTCTTAGGTCTGATATGTTGAAACTCATTCATGAAGGTCATATGGGCATTGAACGTTGTAGAAATCTAATTAAAGATGTATTATTCTGGCCAGGTATAAGCAATGATATTAAAAATATTATAGAAAGTTGTGAGGTATGCCTTAAGTATCGGAACAATAATACTAAAGAACCAATGATTAGTCATGCTGTACCAGACTTACCTTGGCAAAAATTAGGTATAGATTTATTTCACTATAATGATACAACTTAGTTGATTACTATTCAAAATTTATTGAAATAGCTCACTTGCCCAAGGGTTCACATGCAAAATTAGTTGTTACTCAATTAAAATCTATTTTTGCTCGGTTTGGTATACCAATGGAGATAATATCGGATAATGGACCACCATTTAATGCACAAGAATTTAAATTGTTTGGTATGGATTGGGGTATAAATATGGTCACTTCTAGCCCAAATTATCCACAGTCTAATGGATTAACAGAAAGATGTGTTCAAATTGTGAAAAAGTTACTTAAAAAAGCCTGTGATACAAATACAGATCCATACATTGCATTAATGCAGTATCGTAACACTGCTAATAATAACTTGTTTTCCTGCACAACTACTTATGTCAAGAAATCTTAGAAATAAGATTCCTGTCAAATTGTCTAGTCTTAAACGAAAATTAATTGAAGTAGAAAATTACAATAAACAAATCTCCACTAAAAATGATAAATTTATGTCCTACTATAATAAAAATACTAAGCAACTATCCCAGTTAAAAGTTAATGATAAATTATTATTTAAAATTAAACCTAACAGTACTTGGAGTAATGGAAAAATAATTGAAGTATGTGATCAACCTAGATCTTATGAAATTGAAGCAGATAATGATAAAATCTATAGAAGAAATAGAAAGTTTATTATTAAATCTGCATTAAAATTTCAAGAGAAAATTGAAGATGATTTGAAGGACAATATAAATAAAACGTTCTTAGAAAAGTCTATTGAAACCAATTTACATGCCGAGACAAAAAATAAGTTTGGTAGAAATATTGTTAAACCTAAAAGATTTTTAAACTAAATGTTAATAATAATTATCACATTAATATTTCTATTATGTCTTATTGTAAAATTTATAATTTTATATAGTACTTATATTATTTTTTTTTTTTTTAAAAAAAAGGAGCATGTTATGGTATCACTGTTGCTCAAACGCATGTGTATATATGTGTGTAAAATGTGCATAAGCAACCATTCTTGCTCACTCTCTAATTGTCATCACTCGACACAGTCGTGATCTGTTGTTCACTAATAAACTTTCGTTAATTAGTTACCTAATTATTTCAGTGTTTTATTTTGTTCATAAAACACAAACACAACAGTTTTCATATGGTACAACATAAATAATTTTTTCAGTTTTAGTTTTTGGTTTAAAAATATGTTAAACATTTCCTACTTCAATCAGATCATATTCACAACATAAATAATATTAGTTATGGATTTTAGTTTTACCGGGATTCAATTTTGCATCATTGATTTCGTTTAGAGCTTTGTCGTAGTCTTCCTGACTCCACGATTTTTTTATCTTGGTTGTTGTAAATTGATATTAATTTTTCATAAAACAATTCATTGTGTGACATTATATTATATTTTAAAATATAAATAAAAACAATCAAAATTTATAATATACAAAAAATGTTAATAGGTATATGTCACAATATTATATGCAATCACGATCACACTACATACGATTTACGTAAACGTAATACTTATACGTACTAAACTAAATTATTGTACAATTCAATCGCATGTTCTGTATCTTTTTCTGTAACGATATATTTTTATCGTTATAATCGATAAGATTGTAATTTGTCCGACGGTACTCAATATAGATAAGGTTCTCATACAACCAAGGTAAAAACCAATGGAACTTTTATTTTTATAAGAATATGTAGTACTCACTACTCGTACTGTAGACTGTACGGACAATTTTTTTAAATAATACAAAATATTTTTTTTTTATTTGCTTGACATGAAATAGGCATTTAATCAAATGTCTAATCATTTAATTAAATGACTAGGTATTTAATTAAATGTCTAGGCGGATAATGAAATTGTATAAATATTAAATTTTATGACTATATGCCTAGGCATTTAATAAAATGCCTGATTTGACCATATGCCTACGACATATACACTTAATAGATTATCTTATCTTTACCCGTGGTTGATAAGTAGTAGATATGTTGTAGTTGATAAGCACTTGTCAAAAACTAACAGCTCTGCGGTTAAATAACAGCTTGAACAGCTGTTCAGTGATAGATTATCGGCCCAGGCTTATTATCAATAGAGATTTATTAAAGTCATAAATTGATAAATATAATTTTCTAATTCTATACAACCAATAATAATAAATGGTATTTAAAATGAGAAAGAAAAGACAAAATAGTTTTACATCATTTTTAACAAAAAAAAATCAAACCAAATGATGTTCATGTTGAAAATTCACAGCTGTTAATAACTGCACAAGTTTAGCAAGAAATGGTGAGTATTATTGTTTGTTTTTAGATATATTGATATGGAGAAATTTCAAATAAAAGAAGAATTTCTTGGATTCATTGAATTAAGTTCAACAACTGGATCTGCTATCAAAGATACTGTTGCGTCTCTCATAGTTAGATAATAACAACAATATGATAAATGACTTTCTTTGAATATCAAAACCACACCCGTGGATAAGTTAAATTATTATATTATGGTAACTTATGGAATTATAACTAGTTCACATAGTCATTTTATACAGGAAATTAAAATAAGAAATATACAATAAAAATAATAGTGACCACATCCTTTATCTTTGCATCATTAAATATGGGCTGATCGGGAGATAGCACACATAAAATCAATAAGGAATTATCATTTTTATTAACGGTTTCATATTTTCGTACACACACACACACACTTGTGTCCATCGGATATATAAGGGACCCGAAAATAAGGGCATATCAGACGAGTTTTTGCTATGCGACACTGAGCACCTTCACATTAGTGTATGTTATGGTCTAGACTTTGAATACTTTCAACAGTTTAAATAATAGGACTTAAAAAAATTTAAATAGTTATTAATTATTTGAACTTAGAATACTTTTCATCACAGTTTATTATTAAGACTTAGAATTTTAATAGCTAAATTAATTAATTGTACTTAGAATAATTTTTAACAGTTTAATAAATCACTTTATCACAATTAGCATTCATTATTTACAGCATCCACTTACATCCATGCGTTGAACAGACTGAGTAAATCACTGAGATTCCATCAATCAGATGGTACGTAATAAAATTGGTACAGTCGATAGTATTTTCAATAAGAAAACAAATCCACATCGCAACCACCGAGAAACTGAACAACTTGCAGTCCTTCAATTTCTCGACTTCAATTGAATAACTGATACTCCACCAGATCATTCAGTCACCAATATCTTCAATCAACACTTGTTTGTAAGCATAATTTTTTTTTTTTTGCAACAATTATTTTATTTTTAAGTAACAATTATTCTTTTTCTCTTTCTAAAATAACTAATTTTTTTTTTATATGTATAAAAGGAATTCTTTAAAAATTAAAAAAAAACATTATAAGGTCATAAAAAAATCATTGACACCTAAAAATTCTAACTAAGCATACCCACATTATTACTGAGAATTATTATTGAACTATTAAAGGGGATCCCGAGATTATATTGAAATTATATTGAGAATTATTATTGTGAAATTTATTGAGTTTATCTGACACCGGAGGCTCACACGGTAGGGAAAAATATTATTTTATTGGGGTTATTACATTAAAGGAAATAATATTAAGAATTTAAAAAGATTATTATTGAGAAATTATTGATATTATTATTGAAATATTGAGAGTATTATTACTGAATTTATTGGAATATTATTGAATTATTGAGAATTAAATGTTATTGGGTAAAGAATTTTTCTGAGTCAGCATAACAGTCCAAACTCGTCTCCATCAAAAGTAGCTAATTCGGTGTACAAGGAAAAAATTGAAAGTGAAGGTTGTATAAAAGATTTTGAAATAAGTTTTATAAAAGAAGAAAATATTGATGAACACAGTGTATCGAGTCTTGATCTGAAGTGGTTGAGCTTGTATGATTATTTAATGACGGAGATCTCGCTGTTGACTGGTAGATGGAAACGTCAGAGATTGAGATAAAATACACGAACGTTTAATGAATATAAAACTTTATTAAAAGAACTAAAAATTATAATGAAAACTAACAATTTAAATACTAAGATAATCTATGGTTCAGTCGCAAGGAGTGAAACATACTATGTGTAGAGGCAAAGACACAAGTTAGTTGTGCCCTAGTATACAAATGTATCCGAATATATACTACTCCTACGTTATGTGCTTCTGTAAGGTTGACAATAAGGAAAACGGAAATACAATAAGGAAACAGGAAAACAAAAAGACTCATGGGTGCCGAGGTTTCCATGGCCTCCAGGCGCGGATCTAGAAATCACAAATGGGGGGGGGGGGGGCTACGTACTGTAATAATAAAATAAATAAATAAATATGAAAAATAGAAGGATAACATTTATTTTATTTTGACCAGTCTTCTATTTTCATTCGCCTTGGCTTTTGTCTAGAGAATCGAGTTATGACATAATCTATATCAATAGGTAAGTGTTTGTGTATATGAAGAATTGATAAACCATTCAGCCTATCTTCGGACATTTTAAGTCGTCTTAAAGAAAAAAA